TAAGTTCTCCACCTGTGCCCATCACTCAGCACGCCCCTCTCCTGGTATTCACCACCGCACCACACTGTCAAGCGCAGGCGGCTGGCAGGCGCACTGAAAACACTCACTGCTGAGTGGAGGAACCTTTGCAGGCACTCATGTCCTCATGCATGCACACTGCCTTCTCCTCCGGTAATGCTAAGAGGATGGAGACGGTGTCCTTTACCTCTTAGGAAGCTGAGCAACCAGAACACTCTACAGGGACAGCACCCTCCACAAGCACTGATGATGACAGCATGAAGGAAGACTCAGGAACGCCCACCTGCCACCGCGGCTGGGCCCACTCAGGCACGATAATGCAAATATGTAACTTCCTTCCCCCTCTCCCTTCCTTCCCCCTCTCCCTTGCCTGGCAAACATGGAAATATTTATTTTAAAGCAAATTTTGAAAACAGATAACAGTTCTGAAAACAATGCTACATTTCTCTAGAGTTTGAAACCCATTCCTCAACAACGAACTTGTATTTACAGGATTTTATTGCTCTTACTGTTATCCCTAAAACATTATGTGTAAGACGAACATGGTTGGAATTTTGACCCATATATGTGAGAAAGTGGTGGTGTGGAAAGATTAATTCAATGGCTTGCCCATGCTTAGAGTCACCTAACATTCTAAATTTCCATATGAAGAATATCTGAAGACTGTGATGTTTTCTAGTACATACATTTTAAAAAGCTGCAAATTAACTTCCTCTTGGCACCAAGTTAAAATTGGATTAACCAAATCTGCCTGTCTGATAAGAAGGTGTGCTCATCGTCATTACATTACAGGAATGCGATTTCTTCTGTGGGTTTCCTCACCTTCAATATAAGTTCCCGATAGGTGACACCCGCAATCTCAGGCGTGCTCTTGGCCAGAGAATAAAAGGGAGCTCTAAACCCAACTTTCCTCAAAACAGTCACTCAGAGCCGTGACATTTTTGCCAGAAACATCCAAACAAGTCAGTTGATCTTATTCTTCTTTTCCAATTTACAAGAAAACATAAAGATATTGAGTGTCACTTTTAAAAAGCAATTCAAAGACACCTGCATTGCATTGTCTACCTACAAACTGATTTACATACATGACACTTTCCTTTTATGTATTTCTTCCTCTTTTGTGCAAAATAAGCAATTGGAATTTGTATGAAATAGCCTTAAAAATAAGGAAATTCTATGATCACAGTCATCACTATCATATGGCATACAGTTATCATCCAAACTGGACACTGCAGAGAGTGAGGGGGCCCAGCCAGCGTGACTCAGTGGATGAGCGTTGACCTAGGAACCAGGAGGTCACTGTTTGATTCCTAGTCAGGGCACATGCCCGGGTTGTGGACTTGATCCCCGTTGTAGTGTGTGCAGGAGATAGCACATCAATGGTTCTTTCTCATCATTGATGTCTGTCTGTCTGTCTGTCTGTCTCTCTCTCTCTCTCTCTCTCTCTCTTTCTCTCTCTCTCTCTCTCTCTTCCTTTCTGAAATCAATAAAAATATATCAAAAATAATAATTTTGCCGAAACCGGTTTGGCTCAGTGGTAGAGCATCGGTCTGCGGACTGAGGGGTCCCGGGTTCGATTCCGGTCAAGGGCATGTACATTGGTTGTGGGCACGTCCCCGGTAGGAGGTGTGCAGGAGGCGGTTGGTCGATGTTTCTCTTTCATCGACGTTTCTGGCTCTCTATCTCTCTCCCTTCCTCTCTGTAAAAAAATCAATAAAATATATTTTTTAAAAATAATAATTTTGCTGGGACATCAGGTGTAAACCAGGACTCTCCTGAGCAAATGCAAATGTGTGGCCAATAGATTGAGCACATTTTGCAATCACACCATGTGGCTCATCACTCTCCCTACATTATCTTTTCGATTCCAGCTGTCACCTGATATACACGTAACACTGCACCCTCCCTCCTCTTCCTCCCACTGTCTCAGTCTGACCTGGGACCAGCTGCTAGACTCACATCCTTGGGCTGTTATGCTTGGCCAAGAGCCTCTTATCCCCCCATGGTGTCAGGACAACAGAGTCTAAATGCTTCTTACTAGGAGCTGTTTGCTCTGTGATATTTTGTCTCTGGCTTGCACCAGGATGCCTTAGAAATCTGCTATTTCTTTGGTCTATGGAATTCAGGAGGACATTCTTTTAATATGATCACCAAGTGTCCCTTCTTATTTTTAAAAAGAGGCAGAAGTTGGGTCTCCCTTGAATGTTGTTTTCTTCTCAGGGACAATGCTTTTTTAGAGACAGTTATGTGCAGGGTGAGCAGTCAAATGGACTAGGTCAAATTTTTGTTCTGTCAGTTATTCATGATTCAGTTTTATTACCTGCAAATTGGGGTAAATAGAACATCATCTATCTTAGGACCAGCAATAGGATGTTTATATCTGTGATGTTACCAGGAAATGCACAATGAAATGGACAGGCCAGACTTATTAACTACTAGAGGCCCGGTGTTAAAATTCGTGCACAGGTAGGGTCCCTAGGCCTGGCCAGCGATCAGGGCTGCTCAGAGCCTTCCAGCTGCTGGCCAGGGCCCTCCTTCCAGCTGCTGGCTCCCTTTGTTCCACCTGGGCCTCTCTTCGTTCCAGGCCGCCCCCTGGTGGTCAGCGCATGAGATTGTCAATAATCAAACTCTCAGTCCCCAAAACTCCTGAGGGGACAATTTTCATATTAGGCTTTTATATACATAGATGTGCATCTGATAAACTTCCATTGTGACCTTATCATTTATCCCAAATTCTATTTTTTATATCCCTTATTGTCTACTTCTCTATTTAACTATTGTAGTGTTATCCCTCAAATCTTTTCTGGAATAAAAGTAAACTAAACAAGGAAACAAAAACACTGACTCCTGTGTCAGCTCTGGAAGGCACTCAGTGTGTGCCCACTGAACATGTGCCATGTCATTCTGGAAAAAGAGGACCGAGAGCTCAGAGCAGGGGTGTGTCAGATGGGTGCACATGTGCAAAGTGCCCCTCTGGGTCCTCCGGAAATCTCAGACCAGCTAGTCCAAGCACATGTTTCTTAAACAAAAATTTTCAAAGTAAATTGCAATCACTTGAAAAAGTTAATGAAATACATTTTCTTCATAAATGTATATAAATGTCTTTAGAATGAATAGAAATCAAGCTATGTACAAAGGCTGAAATAGTTTTCAATGGCAAAAGACTTGGAAAGATTCCTTTCCCAAACCTACTATATTACTGCCCATCAACAAAGACAGGAAACACACTTTACATGCCAAATTGTAAATGACATCTGTAAAGTTGTATAGATTCAACAGGCAACCAGCCCAAGTGAAATGGGGCAGTAAACACCAACATAAATAAATAAATAAATAAATAAATAAATAAATAAATAAATGAAAAATATTGAAAATACACTGGCTATTCTGTGCGCTTAAATGTGCAACAGCCACTGTGAATGTGAGAACCACCAAAGCTGAGAAGTAAATGTTAACAGATAGTCTGTAAAACTTTCCAGTGTACCCCTACAGCTATCCACTCATAACACATCTGTGCAGTGATAGTAATTCACTGATTTATAATACACACTAACTGACAAGATATAAAGTCTTCTGCCCCAGACTCTTAACACCTCCTTGTACACAGTTAATAAAATACATCCTACATATAAAAGTAAGTTTGAGTCTGTGTCCGCCTACAGCTTGCTCTATAAAACAGCAATTAAGGTTATCATGCAAACAAAAGGTGAAGTTATGAGACTAACAATTGTACTGTAGCCTCTGTGTGTGACCATCCCCAGGCTGTGTGCTGCCCTGGGAGTGCTGTGCATGCTGCTCCCCCACTGGCAGGGAAGGACCGCATGGGGCTAAGTAAGGTGAGCTCCTAGGAGTCCGCTGGCTTTCATCGAGTCACGCTATATGCCTGAGGACCACATTCCGGTCTATCCTGTTATCCCACTGGTTGGAAAGAAGAGGATACTATGACTGAGGAAAAGTGACTGAAAAGAATTTCCAAAGAAGTAAGAACCTGGTGTGACTTAACCTGTGGTGAGAGCAGCATTTGAGATGAGTTACAGATTTGCATTCTTCCACCTAAAACAACTTGTCTCAAATAAAAATACTGAGACATTTTCTAACTATAATCACAGCAGGAAGCATTATTTATATTCCCAAAGGGAAATAAAATAGAAGTAGATGATATTTCTGTTCTTACATATTTTCATCTGGCTTTCTTGCTCTTTTCAATAAAATGACATTTTAAATTCAGTAAGAATGGTATGGCTAAAAACAGTTAATATTAAGAACATTTTTACAGACTCACTGCCTATCCCTGCATTTTTTTCCTTTATTGTGTTATTACCCTGTGTGGTTATTTGCTCCCAATGGACGGGAAGCTCCATGAGGGCACTGCCTGGACCCCGGACAGAGGCCTCCCTGTCTTGGTCAGGATGAGGCAGCTAGCTCTTTTTATTCTTCTCAGCTGAGGATACGCTATTGGATTACAAATATTTTAAGTGCCAGTTTCAAGGCCTCCAGAAAGTAAAAGATTTAATTATTAATCATTGGTGATATTAAAATATTTATATGCCTTTTAGTTGTACTTAATTGAATTCAGTGAAAAGGAGAGTAATGGAGGCAGTAATTGGCTAGGCATAAAACAGCATTATCAGTTTATGTGAAAAAATAAGGCTTCAGACATAACTTTCTTCCGTGACCCCATATGGATGTGTTGGAAATCATTTGTGTTAACGGAATGCTTTTACTTACAGCCACTATAAGTGAAAGAATTCACGTCTCGAAATGGAACTGAATGGTAAGTCTACTGCATGAGTTATCCCCACAACAGACTGTAAATCTCAGATCCACTCCAAGTGCTCTGGTTCAAGTTAAGAGCACAATGTATCCAAACCTTTGGGACGTGTTATTTTCAATTCACGACTCAAGGTAAAGGTCGAGGAACGATTTAGGATGAATAAGCAAAGGGATGTTCTGCAATGTGAGACTTATATTCATGGTTTTACCTGATCTGCCCACGAACCAGAGGTCTGTTCTTTGTCCTATTCATGTTTGAATCAAACGGCACCTCAAAAAACTGCAAAGAAGTTGAAAAAAGATAAAAAACATTAACTATAAAATAAAACAATTCTCTTCTGCTTTAGTTCCACAAAACTCCCCACAGTAAATACACAGTGAATTTCACTTAACTTTGACAGCACACACTAACCCTGCTGGTACCGTTAGGAGGAAGAGCTCCCGGAGACGCATGTAAACATCATCTGCATTAATGGTCAGGAATACACACAGATCCTCTGTTACCCACTGTGAAACCACTTACACATCCAGGTGCATTCTTCAAAGCCACTGTTTCAGGTTGGGAGAGGGATACTTTCATTGTGTTTGACAAAAGCATGGCTTTGCTACTGCTCTATTGGAAGTTAAGTATGACTGCAGGATGTATCCAAGTGCCAAGCCTACAAGGTGAATGTGATGGCCACGTTGCAGGTTAGCTAAGCCGGACTACGCTGCCCAGAATGCCGGTTCCTGTTTACCTGCAGCTCAGGGGCAGCCACAGGAGATGCTGCAGGAGACCGGGGAGATGGGCAGCAAGCGGCAGCTGTGTTTACGCAGGGATACTGGGGTGAGGTCAGGCACTACTGCAGACACACACACGCGCACATGGGTCTGCTGTGTCGCCTGTAGCACCGAGCTGCAGCCTCCCCAGCTCCGGCCAGATCTCGGGCTTCCAACAACCTCTGCTCGTCCGCGTCTCCCAATCCCGGGCTGAGTGTCCATGCTGCTCCATGCAGTGCACCGCTCTCTGCAGTCTCTGTAGCATCAAGTTGCAGGCTTGGAAGCTTGAGAGATGCACGGTGCCATTTGTTCTCATGAGTTTTCTCACCCTTGTGGGCTGCAGTCACTCTCACTTTCCTCTGCTTTCCCGATGGATGGCTCTGCTACATCAGATCAGCACCAGGTACAGGTCCAACAACATCGTAGCCCGCCCACCTCCCGGGACCACAGCCCTCACACCATTCAGCGTGGTCCTGACCCCTCATCAAACCCTAACTCATACAGGCTTCTTCCCATACTTTCAACAAGGCCATCATTTAAATGCATTTAACCTCTCAATATGTTCACTTTATCTAATGATCTAAATGAAAGGCTTCCTGAGGTATGTGAATTTATATTCTTTTTAAAAATATATATTTATTGACTTCAGAGAGAGGAAGGGATGGAAATATCAATGATGAGAGAGAATCATTGATTGGCTGCTTTCTGCACACACCCCACTGAGGATCGAGCCCACAATCTGGGCATGTATCCTGACAGGAATCGCGTAATGACCTCCCATTCATTGATTGATGCTCAACCACTGAGCAATGCCAGTTGGGCTGAATTTATATATTCTTGTTAAAGACAGGTATGCAAATAGTTACTCAAGAAGTAATTTGTTAAATAAATCATCAGAGCAAAAATATGTATGTTTGCAAATCGCCTTACATTCATTTAAAAATAATACATAATTTATGTGTTAAAACATTCGTTGCCTTTAAGAATATACACTGAGTGGCCAGATTATTATGCATTTAGAGATCATAATATCTGGCTACTCAGTGTACATTCCTTATTGAATTAGTTCAAGTTACAAGTCATTAAAATGTTCTGTGTTGACACTCCCTCCCTTCCCAATATTCAAACACATTCCATAGGTATTTCAAATAATCTTTCCTTCATAACCATTAACTCAATTTCACAGAACTAATGAGGACTGCAAAGAAAAATAATATTATTTAAATGCTGGTAAGATGTTATTTATATAACACAAACTCTTGCATTAATAGCTATTTTGGTAATTCTCAAGTCAGTGTGTGTGTGTATACATGCAAGTTCCTAGTTTAGGAATTCTAATGAATTATTTCATCTGGATGAAGAAATATATTATTTTTTTCTATATTCTGGCAAATCAGCCACTCAAAGATGGGAACTGAGGACTAGACTATGTCAACCGGCCTGCAGGGGCATCACTTGGCAGCCGCTTCTGTGCCCTGAATGCTTACACTTATCCGGACAAGCAACCTCTGGGCAGAAATACCACATAACCCAGACTGAGGACTCATTCCAACGAGGGCTGGGCAACGCTTTGGCACGGGGAGGGGCAGGGGCAGAGCTCACCATGTTACTGCATTCTGTTTTTCAGGTATTTTCTGTAATGCCTTCTAACAGTTAGGTTTACTGCTTTGGTTTGGATATTTAGACCACATCTTTAAAACACAAGCACAGTATTTCAAATGAGAAATTTAAACACTTTAGAACCTATAGTTTGCTTTGGTCTATTTACATTTTTCCCTGTGCTTTACATAATTTTTTAATAACGTGATTATCATTTCAGTTGGAAACAACTACTTCTATAAAAGGAGCGAAGGACACAGGGAAGTGGAGGCGTGACCCAACATTGATTCCTTGACCTTGGGTCAAGTCAGGTCCCTGGCTCCACCTCTGCCCTTTCCAGGTTACGTCAACCCTGTATGGGTCTACACTTCTTGCCTCCAATGTTCTAATACATGAAGACTAAAAATTTCAAACATCTGAGCAATGTACTGCACAGAAATGAATACCATGCTTTCTCCGTCAGCATACAAGTTATTTTCTGACTATGTTACATTTTCAAAAAAAAAAAAAGGAAAAAGTTTTTCTCCACATCTCTTTTTTCATAAAAATCTATCTTTTTGAATTCTTTTCATTTTGAAAATTTTCCTTTTTTATTCAAGTTCACTGCCTCACCATCTTCCTTCCAATCAAACAGATAATCCTTCACATTTCTTGCCTTCAAGAAAACCTAACATCCATTATTCAGGCTCTTGGGTTGCAAATAGCAAAAACAAAGAAACACACAGATAAACGGAAAACAACCCAGACTAGCTCAAATTAAACTGGGGCTGTACCTCTTACAACAGGTTCTCAGGCTTTTAGAAATGATTGGATTCTAATGCCAGGCCTTGAATCTGCACCGTGTATGCCTGTACGCAGGCTCTTTCCATGAAGCAGGCGAGATGTCACAGGCAGGCCCAAACTCTTCCTCAAGCAGCCAGAGCAGAAAGGCTGGCTCCCATGGCTCCAAAAGACAAGTCCGGCCACCACGGCCACACATAGTCCTTGCTAGGGCACCAGCGCCGGCCCGGTGCGCAGGGGAAGGTTGTGGGTGGAAGATACAACGACATAGTTCTCACTAAAGCCACAGTGTTATTTTTCTATAGAAAAGGAAAATTCTTTTACCAGAAGAAAGTGGGAAGATGTCAAGCAGACAGATGTAGTGAAATTATTTAAAACTCAGAGTAAAGTTGACAGCCCCAAGTCAATTCATTTCTTACGTGTCTCACCTATAAAACAGCTTGCCTATCGTGGGAGTATTCTTAGTTTAAGTACCTGTGAGGCATTAATCACTGTAAACAGCCCTAGCTAGTTTGGCTCAGTGGATAGAGCATTGGACTGCAGACAGAAGGTCTCAGGCTTGATTCTGATCAAGGGCACAAGCTTGGGTTGCAGGCTCGATCCCCAGCAAAGGGCATGCAGGAGGCAGCCGATCAATGATTTTTTCATCACTGATGTTTCTATCTCTCTCCCCCTTCTTTTCTGAAATCAGTAAAATATATGTTTAAAAAAAATCACTGTAAACATAATTTATATTAACCTCTCTCATAAGCAGTTTTAATAAAGTACTAAATGGATTGTCCCCCATAGTCACATGATTAAGACATAGGGCACTATTAATACCAATGGATATATATTTATTAGATATCTATTATAATATTTTTGCTTTCTATCATACTGTGGTTTTGGATTAGTAGACAACTGTTATTAATCCAAAGAGATGATGCTCAGCTATAGCGTATGCATATAAATCCTTCTAAAAGACAACACACACTTATGATACTATCAAATTTTGTAAGCTAAAATGAGATACCCAAAGTGAACAGGAATGTAACTTGGCCCAAGTGGTGAACTTTTTGTCCCTACGTTGATTGATTATATTCTTTGAAAAAATAGATGTAGTCTAGAGATGTTTGTCAGGCTCAGAAAACATTTAATGTGATAATGAGGTACAACTTTTTCTTTCCCTCTACTAAACAATGACAGCAACATTCTTTCTCAATACTGAACAGAAAACCAAACCCCGAACCCTGTCAGAGTTTGTTGTTCCATCCATCTTGTGTCTGTCATTCCAATGTGTCTCCCATCTTCCAAGTCCAAGATAACGTCTCAATCAATCTCAGACCAAGTTGAAGGGACGCTGAACAGAATAAATAAATACGCAGGGAGAGGCACCGTTCCCAGCAGGCCCTGCACACTGCATTTCAGTGTACGCATCAGCTGCACACCTGGCCGGCCATTACTCTGTCCTTGTCACCAGTATTTTCCTGGCATGCCCAGAATAAACAATTAACTGGGCTCGTGTTCCCGCGGGTTTTCCCTGGAGAATTTGGAATGCGAGTGCACGTGACTCTGGCAGCCCTCAGAGAGGCTTTCCCTCACGTGGGGGCTACAGCAGAATTCTCCCTAACCTCTTATGAAGCAGCATTTAAGTTTCCCCATAAAAGGAAGACAATAAGAGGTATAAAGGGTCCCAGAGCACTCAGTGGAGGCAAAGTGCCACGCCCTGCAGGTGAAACACTCAGAAAGCCACACTGGTTTGGACCAGTCACACTGGCTTTGACCTGCTATGTGCTTAGACTTTCTCTGCCAGGAAGATCTCACCTGGAAACACTGCTTTCCAAAGAAGATAAAAGGAAACATGGGGAAATATTTATAATATTTGTCTCTGGATAGAGAATGTGGGATGATTTGTTATTCCTTACCTACTGTGTTTCACAATGGTCTATAAAGTCAATGCATTTTATACTTAGGAAGAAAGGTAATAAAGTCTACCCAAATGACACAAACACAAAATCCAGACAAACACTTTTTAGGTAAACTAATAAAGAATTACTAAAATGATCTAGTATAAAAGCAACACTAATGAAGGCATAGCCAATTAGGACCTTTTTGCCCCCAGAACAAGTCACAGGAAGACCAAATGATGCTAGTGTTTCTGGA